GTGTAAAACACTATTTAGTGTTAACTTTCTATGACTGAACTTTCTGAGTTCTTGCATGATAACTGATTGCTTTTCTTCTTGTTCAGGGAAAGTCCATCAGAATGATGGGAGTGTCTGAACATGAGGTTGATGAAGTTTTACAACATGCAAAGACAAACTTAAGGATAGCTGGATTTGATGAAGAGGAAATGAGATTGAGGCAGCGAATGTCATACAGGCCTCATACTCTGAAACTTCCACAAGGACCTTATATCTTTTGTGATTTCCGAACACTTCAACTTCCAGGAATTGAGGTATTCTAAAATTATGTATGAGGAAATGTGAAGATATTGCAATTATCAATTTTTGGTAGAGGCTTTTAACTTCAACTTCTTGTTACTTGTCTGCAGTTGAACCCTCCGGTGTCAGAGGCATTGAAAAGAATGCACATGCTTGCTGCAGATCCTGGAATTATTTCTGTCATGAACAAGGTATCATTTTATGCATATTCTCACACTTGTATAAACAGAATGTCCAGTATGCTTTGCATATGATTCCTTGGTGTACTCTTGCGTCCCTGCTGGTAATTTATCTTTGCATTGTTCTTTTTAAAGCATCGTTGGCGTGTGGGAATCATGACTGAGATGGCCCCTGTTGGTTATGTTGGCATAAGTCCCAAATGCATCCTCGGGTTCAATAAGGTAATCACACTCTAAACATCAGAATATATGATGAAATTAGTAGCAATAGTATTTTCTCATTTCTTTTAATTTCTGATTGACACTTGGTTGCTGTTGTAGAACCACGGGCAGGAGATATCTCTGCGCCTCCGAACTGATGACCTTAAGGGTTTCAAGAAATATGAAAGTATCATGCCCGTGTAGTTTTTTAATGTATGTCTTACATGTATATATCAATATGCATGTATCTATCTATATACACAAATAGCCTTACGCTCCTCAAGCATGTTAGTTGGGTCATTGATTAGGATTACAATTCAATGAATTCACTCAAGTAGGCATCTTTCTTAGCTTGTGTACTGTTTGGATTCTTTATTGTACCTATTATGCAAATGAAATGACGTAGTTGTTAACTTCCAGTAAGTGGTATGAACAGTTGTTATACTGTTCATACCCTGCTACTGAGATGATTTCTATGACATAGTATTAACAGTGCACTTCTATGACATAATATTAACAGTGTACTTCTATGGCATAGTATTAACAGATTTTCAGTAACAAAGCATGCTCTATGTTTTGCTCTATATATAGCTATGCACTTGAAGTCTTCATTTAATTTAATGCTATTTCTGTTTAGTTGAACCAAGAAGCTGAAAGTTTAGATTGGACGAGATCAAGAAGTCACACACTGAGTGGAGTGCAGTATCCAGAGCATTGTGAAGAAAATTTCTATGTTGGAGGCAGAAGTAATTCTTCTCAGAAGCTTGGAGGAAATATGTCAGATCGGCTTCCAAGTGCTCGTACATCTTCAGTGGCTGCTGCTTATCAACGTCTAGCAACTGCTTCTCATGATAGTGTGTATGAAGTACATGAAGAATCACACCCTGATGATTCCCTCCCCCATATGCAAAAAGAATCCAGCCATGTGGATTTTGTGGGAAAAGGAAACTTAGAGATCGGAAGTTCACACAAAATTCAGTGGAAACCTGATATGGAGCCTGATCCTGATGACCAGTCTGGTAATCAGAACAATTTTGAGCCCAGTCCTGATGAATCTTCCTCACAATCTTCGAGAAGCGGGACCCTTTTTGGACAAGATTTCAGTGAGTCTATGATGTCTCAACCTGTGTCGCATTCGGTAAGTAACAGGAAGTTGGAAGGGACAGAGTCTCGTGAAGAACCAGATGCTGATTACATGGAAGCTTGCTTGAAGCATGATGTTGTAGCTGAACCTGAACCTTTTCACTCTCACGAGATAGAGATTTTGGAAAGCAGGATTCAGCCAAGGAATAATGTGGACGAACCTGATCCTGATGACTTGGATGCAAAACCAGATGATTTAGGATGTGGTTCTTATGGAAATATCATAAGACCTAACCATGATGATTCTTTGGTTAGTGAAACTATCAAATATGAAGCCCATCCAAGGAAGGTTCATAATGAACCTGATCCTGATGATTCTCAATCAAATGGAGTCATTCTGGCAGAGCCTGATCCTGATGATTCTCAATCAATTGGAATCATTCAGGCAGAGCCTGATCCTGATGATTCTCAATCAATTGGAATCATTCAGGCAGAGCCTGATCCTGATGATTCTCAATCAATTGGAATCATTCAGGCAGAGCCTGATCCTGATGATTCTCAATCAATTGGAATGATTGATGATTTGCAATCAAATGGAGTCATTCAGGCAGAGCCTGATCCTGATGATTCTCAACCACTTGGAATCATTCAGACAGAGCCTGATCCTGATGATAATTTGGTGCATCCACGGGAAATATCCAGAATGCAGATTGATGAACCTGATCCAGATGATGAAGAATTTCAAAGAATTCAAGACCCTGTGACAGTTTTTTGTAAACGCTTACAGGAGAACATTGAGTTGCTGCAAGCTGAGGTTAATCCCACTCAGGCTACCACAGTCCTCCAAACTCTCTTTAAGATAATTAGGTACAGTAATCTAATTTGACTTTTAGCTTGTAGCCTTCCTCCATGCACATATAGAATTTTTTGATTGGTGTATCACCAGCTGGTTTTATCTTTTATTTTTTACAATGAGCATGGGATGGGTCACATTTATATCCAGTCTCTTGCTTTGAAGCAACTTATGGAACTCAGGAAGCCCCTACATATAAACTGCATTGTTATGTCAATCTGTTGTTGTACCTTTCTACATTGAGTTGTTCATCGTGGCTTATCCATA